ACTAAAGTTTGAAACATTCGCGTCACATCTCCAAATTTCAGCTGGAGTAAGAGGTAATGGGCTGCACTTGCAAACAAAACGACCGCCAAGCTTTTGCTGATCACAGTGGAAATAAATCGTTTACACTTGTGACTGAGTCAAAACAAAGCCAAGATATTTATGCAAAACTTGTGGATAATGTCGTTAATTGTGTGCCTTTCTCTTTGTATGGACTTTTTTATTTACCTCTTTATTTATGTAAGAATTTTTCCACCGTCTACACCGTTATATTTTGCAACTCTTAATGCGCAGAGTGAGGATGTTCAAAAGTGTTAGCCGAGATACTCAAATGTTCAAAGTTTACGTTATAGCGCAATGGCGATGTCAAGATGTGTTTTAAGTTCCACCATATCATTCACTATAACATAAGCGTATGCCTTAAAGGCACCGTCTATCCAAAGTCTCGGGTAGGCGACTATACTGAGAATAGTTTTCTCTGATACCATGACTATAAGTCGCCGATAGGCCCAACCCCGCGCGGACAATAAAATGGCATGGCTTCGCATTCTGTTGAAAGGCTGCCAGAACACATGGCTGCGTAGTCTGTTGCGGATGTCCGCGCATGGCCCCCTCTCGGCGACATATAGTCCTCTACCCCACATTTTCGACTTCCATGTTTTTGTCGTCGCGGGGCCTTAGTTCTTTCCGAATATGAAATTAGAATCCGCGAAAACCCAGGCAATCCTCATTTCGCAGAACCCGCAGGGCAACTTCTCCGGAAAGCGGATTGGTTGGTTGGGCACGAATGGGCGGAATGAGCGCCCTCATAGGAAGGGGTCAACGTGGCGAATTCATCATCCGAAGCGATTTTCGAAGTTGTTATATCTCGGATGCAACTCTTGGCAGCGCGAGTGAACAAGTACATATATCCTTGGAAGCCCCGCTACTGCTGAATATCAAAATCTCACCCCCCACTCCGGGTAAATAGTGATTTCAAATTCAAGCTAACTAAACCCTAAAATTGCTATTTGGCAATCTGTGAGAGTCTGTGCGGCAAAATTGTATAGGGTCTAAGATAGAGCTCACCTTTTGACGCAGCAAAAAATGAAGTTGCAATTTAGTCCATACATCACTCGTAAAGTGCTTATGAATTGTACTTGAAAGCTTGCCCTGCCATAATCGGCGAGCGCTTCTTTCAGAGAAAGCAAATACTTCAAAGGTTGCTAAATATCAACTGGATCATGTAGTAGAACCTGAAATTGCGGAGTAAATCAGAAAGGAGAATCAATGTAAAGAAAATATTGAGCAACAGAAGTGAAGTATCCGATCCGCGTTGGTCCGATCCATTTGTGGCCTCTAAAAAGAGGTGTGAGGCCGTCATACGTATCACAAACCGCCTCTGGTGTCACAAATCTCCACATGAGAACGAGTGCTCACGTAAGCGGTGAACGGTTTTTGTCGCGTGCACTTTTACAGTTGCAGCTCCTCCCCGCTGCAAGCCGAGGGGGATGTATAATCTGAAACTTGTGCGCACTCTAAAAGAGACCTCAGTAATCGGGTTTTTTTAGGGGAGCAATTTAAACATTTTAACCCCAATCAATCAGGGCCACGGAAAGGCTCTAGAATTGCAAAAGTGGAGGCAAAATTTTGGGTGGACGCTGCCTTCAATTACTCCATTGCGTCAGCAAAGGGGAGGGGGTTGAGGGAATACAAACTAAGAATAATTAAAATTAGTTAGTCTCAAGTTAGTCTTTCATTTAGCGGAAACAAAAAATTTACTACCACTAGAAATGCAGAAGCAGGGCCAAAACCATTGAGAAGGTAGTTGCCAAGCTACCCCTTCAAGTATGACACTCTAGTTCGCAGTAATGACCACCTCGGAGATAAGCGACCTACACGGCCAGGATAGGTCGGGTGGAGGAAATTGTACTACTAGAATGAAGTACACTGGACAAGGTTTGTGTGTAGTGTTGACAAGCTAAAAGGGAAGCAGTAATCCTTCAATCTCGATGTGAAAACGGAAAAAGATGGTTATATGATACATCGTGAAAGAACATGTTCGAACTTGAACTGTTTAGCGAGCTCGAACGTGACCTTCAAGTACTCAATATTGAATCAGCCAAAATGCGTCACAACTCACTCGTGAACCTGTTAAGCAAACGTACGCAAAGCGTGCTCGTGTCTCTTAGCCAGAGGATGAATGACATCATTCATTCTATAATTAAGAGACACGGGCACGCTTACGTAGGTCTGAGTAACAAATTTAAAAGTGTGTTTCTTCCGTTTCGTTTATATCAGGATTAAGAATCATGAGAGAACATGTTCAAACCCGCTTTGTTTAACGAACTCGAACATGTTCGCACATGATTTCCGTTTAGTAATCAAGACGCGTTAAACGCAATCATACTTTTTCAAACGTACGCAAAGCGTGATCGTGTCTCCCAATCACTGATTGAATGATATATAAAGTCGATGTTAGCATCATGAAAAATGCAAAAACAGCTTACTCTTTCTCACACCCACTTGTTTATAAATGGCTTGAGTCTCTTACTAGTGTTCCCTGATTAACACACACGAATGAGTGATTTTGTAAAACTTTGAAAATAGTTAGGCTTCACTTGTATACAGTAGAGCGCAGATTAACCTAACACACATCACATTCAACATGCTTCTTGATTATGAATCTTAAAATGTCTTCTGCAGTATTTTTCTTTTGTTCTCTAACATCAATGGGAGCAACAAACAAGTAAAGACTTCTGGAAGATGTATGCATAGTAGGCAATGTTTTTCTAACAAGGGAAGGAAGGTTGGTTGAAGTGGCCTTTTGAAATGAGGTGTATACTGCCTTGTAGAACTTGGAACGCTGATTCCAAATCTACCTTTGCTATCTGCTTCTGGGAGAGGAGTTATGAAGGTTTTTGTGAGTAAAAATCTGAATGCAAGAATAGGGTAAAATCAGTCATTACCTTTCCCCAATGTTCAAATGAAGCAGCAGCGACTTAGTATATTTGAATCAAAAATATTTGTTGCACCGAGTGACCCGACTACCATTTAAGCCCTATAAAAAATGTTACGACTGATTTTAGCCTACTCTTGCATTCAGATTTTTACTCACAAAAACCTTCATGACTCCTCGCCCAGAAGCCCGCAGCAGATAGCAAAGGTAGATTTGGAATCAGCGTTTTAAGCTCTACAGGGCAGTATACATCACATTTCAAAAGGCCGCTTTGACCAACTCCTCTCCTTGTAAGACATGGCGTAAACGTTTTCGATACGTACTGATTGATCTTTTCTACCGTATGCCTTCCAGCCTCAACAAGACGTGGATTGGTGAAGCACCATTTCGCTTAGGGCTTGCGCCAAGTTGCTCTTCTCGCTAGGCCACGCCGAACGAGAGTCCACTACGTGGCGCAAGCGAGGCGGCGGGCACCAATCTACGTCATGTTGAGGCTGGAAGGCATACGGTAGGAAAAATTATTACGTATTGAAAACCACTGTACTTACTTCGTTCGTTCGTGTATAAAGAAATCATAGACTCGTTTGTACGTGCATATTCGCATCTTAGTCTGAGTTTTGTGAAAGATTAAGATTACAGCACAGCTATCAGGATGTTGGGGAACTAAGAGATACTATTTTTATCATTTCATTCTTCTCTTGTGATCCATCATAGAAGGTGGCGCAGCAAATCCAACACGCATGTGAAATGAAAATTGAAAAAGCTTGCATGTTTTCCTGAAATGGCTCAATCACGCAAAAACACAAAAAGTGATTTTTCATCTCAATTATGGATGAAAATCATATGTGGGCTCGTAATTTGCAAAAGAAAGAATGATAAATTCGGGTGCTGCATATCCTACTATAATAACGCGCTAAGGCCGTCTGTTTTTTTGTGTGTCTGTGTGTCTGTGTGAAAATCTGTCTGTCACGAAATTCATAGCGCGATTTCCAGCCAACCTCCTGGGCTCAAATTTTGCACAGCGCATGCTACCCGCATGAAAGTCCAACACGCAAAAGCACGAGCAGATTCGTTGGGTGGATCCTTCAGAGACTGCGCGTCAAACGGATCCACTTTGCATTTGGGCCGCAAAATTGGGTCCGTAATTCCACTTTTTGTGGAGTCGTGGATGTTTATGCCAAGTAAATGAGCGAGCCATGAACTTAAGCCCAAAAAAGTGATCAAAAGTCCATTACTTTACAAAAACGGCGCCAAAAAGTATCGGTTGCGTAAATGGTCAATTTGCCAAGGTTTTACCAGAGCATTTGACGAGATTTTTGCACAGAGATGTAGTTCACAGTGACTGCTGTTCTTATCGCAAGTGTCGAGACCATGGGAAAATCAAAAACCTATAAAAATTTGCGTCTGTTTTCCTGCAAAAAGTCTCATCCACGCGAAATCACCGATTTCACATAAAAAAGCTTTCGGAATGAGTAGTTGTTTACATTTTGTTCGTGATAGTCGGCATCGCTCGGTGAGTACCAATGCCATCATTATACTAGAATGAGTAGGGCCTAGATAGTAGAGCCAGTGCGAGCCTCTGCGAAGCAGAGGTGACGCACTGGTGTATACATATAGTACAAAAGCACTATGAAAAGCCAATCAAAGGCAAACCTGCTGGCGACGAAAGAATTAATAATAAATGCTCAATACTCATTATCATATCTTCTATTCTAAAGCTTTAGGAGCACTGAGCTCCTGTATTCAATAACTATTTTCTTACCCTTTCAAGAAAAAAAGTCACCTCATATGTTCCACTGCACGAGCTTGTTTAAAATTCCATTGCTCAAGCGGCTAGCCTTACTATTTGGCTTATCTATAAAACGCGTCGATGGTTTTACTTGGACTAAGATAAAATGTCAAAAGCTATGAAAGTCCAATCGTAGCAGTGAATCATTCTGTTTAAACTACGTTTCAAGGTCCATTATTTTGCAAACGATCTGAAAAAGCTCAAGAAGAGTGAAGTGCAATGTTTAACCAAAGTTAACATAAAGGTTTTCTTTCAACGTATTCTAATCTTTTTTCCAGCCTCTATAAACTATAGTGATTTGGTTGGAAGCGTCGACTACAGCAATCATGCTTGCTACAATCCTTATCGCGGTTTTTCGTAAGTCATCGATCTTCATAATTATTAGGCTCTCATATAATTCTCTCCATATCTGGCTTTTTCACTGACATAGGTTCTTTTTTACATATTTAATGTGATGCAGGGCAGCATTCGACAGATCAAACCAAGCTCTACAAGATGGCGCTAAGAAGTTCGCACGAAGCTTGATCCGCATTGAGTTTCAAGACAGTAAAAGAGGTTCCAAACTTCTAAAGAAACGAAAATAATCGTATTTCAATTTAGAACAGCTCTACAGACTTCCCACTCGCACACGCATTTACTTTCCTCATCATCAGATATACACACACTTACTTTTTGACAGCAAGAAAAAAGTATGCGCCTAATTTTTTCTAATTTTGTCTATAGCCACTCTTGTTCCACGCAACATGTGATTACATAGCTGATTGACTTAGGAATACTGCCATAAATCGGCAACCTTGTAGGTACTCTAGTTTTTGAGAAACATCATTCTGAAAATTCAGATATGAAAAGCCTTATGATTCAAAGTAACAACTGAATTCGCTTTCTTGCAGTAATTTCTGCTACGACAGAAGATTGTCTGAAATGCATTTGCAAACGCGAATCAGGATGTAAGCCTATAGGATGCCATATGGATGTTGGATCACTTTCGTGCGGTTACTATCAGGTTATTCGTGATAGTGTGAAGATGTCCGCGCGAAAGAATTACGACTGTGAAAATACAGTACATTTCTAGATCAAGCTTCCCTACTATAAGGACTGTGGGACTCCGGGACGCAAGCGTGGTGAGTCTGTAACCGCGGCTTGGAAGAGGTGCGCAAACGACTACAGCTGCTCAACCACATGCGTCAAAGTTGGTTGTTGGTTACCCTAGTCATCATTACATTTGCCGATCACTTCTATGCATCTAGGCGTACTACAACCGTTACAAGAGATTATGCCCTTCGAGTCAAGGAACTTGTCAGAAAATGGCACGACTGCATAATGGAGGTCCGTCTGGGTGCAAGAAACAGGCCACAGTTGGGTACTGGAACGCCGTCAAGAAGTGTTGCGGATGCACTTGAACAAAGAAGTTGCTTTTCAATACCTTGCTCGATTACTAGAAATTCGAGAAAGCCAATAAATAATTTTGTTATAAACCTTTTGAGAATACTCATCTCGCTCCCATACCTTCTCGCTTAATTTGATCTTGCTCTTCATGCAGAACATCAGTCGAGAATCAAGCAGAGTATACGGAATAGATTACGCTTTCCAACGAAGTCGGTTGTATTATCAAAGCCAATCTACCAGCCGCTCTCTGGCGCTACATGGCAGGTCCTGCTGGTACTCAGCAGCTTTGCTGCCTCGTAGATCTTTCGTAATACTTTGTAGAGCGGGAATGCATAGATTTGAAGAAGGTTTGTCATTACTTCGGTTGTCGAATTACTTCGGTTTATAGAATGCGTAGAGAAATAACTGAGGACACAACTCCGTATTCGTCAGTTTTTATTCAACGTTCTAAGCAATGCATGTTGAGCAGTCCGTTGCTTTACGAAGTAATGACGGCCTCGGCCTGCATCGCGGCCTCGGACTTGAAATTGAAGGCATTCAAAAGAAGTGCGATTGGTGAGATTGCCGTCATAATATGAATATGCAGTACGGACGGGATACAAGGGTCATGTAAGCGAGTGGATAAAGTGGTCATGTGTGATAATTTTTTGAGTATCTTCTTAATTTGATTGATGCTGTAATTCCGTTCAGCTCAGCGGAAAATGCATTCGCTGAGAAGCCTCATTATTTGCCTACCAGCGAAGCGTATATGTGTCCTATGAGATTTGAAATGCTCGAATAAGGCCTGCATCGCGGCCTCGGTCGAAACATCATCGGTGTACAGCAGTGACATAATCAGGACTTCCGTCCGAGGAGGGGGGGGGGACAAGAATTTTTTTCTTGATGAAGATGCTTGGCGTTAGCCACGCTCTTCAAAAAAATTTTCCACGTGCTTCCCAAAATTTTCGCGGACTTATAAGTTTTAAAAAAAAGGGGGGGGCGCCAATTACGCCCCCGAAAATTTTTTTTACAAGGCTAAAATGAATTTTTACCTTTTAGAAAATTATTCTAATTATTAACACTGTAAACAAGCCACTTGCGCATTTCTGTAACTCATATAATAGAGATAAATTTGTGCGTATTGATTAGCAGAAGAGCAATATATTCAGGAGTTTCGCAGTTTCGAATTTTAGATGCATTATCCTTTTAGGTCTCGCCGATTTTGCAGTGCCCACTCATACACTATTAATTACATTGCAAATTTTTTTTACGATGAGGGACACAAAACGATTACGCAAATGGTTTCTATTTATCGCCTCATCCAAATCACGTGTCATCACGACTCCGCCCCTTGCAGCCATTTGAGAACCGATGGTAGACATTTGACCAGTGAAGTAGGGCACAGGTCCGTTTATACGCCTTCGTATCACAGACGCCCATGAACGACTTGTAGGCTGCCGACGGTTTATGAGATCTAGACTGAGTTAGGAAAATGATGTCGTGAATCTTGCAAGACAGCTTCTTAGCCAGGAGCTCTGACTTTCCTAACATCTAGGTGATAGGTTAACAGAATTGCTAAACACTGCAGTATTTGTCGACTTCACTTCGCAAATGCTATGGCAATGGTCTGATTCTCATTAATTTTCTGCTAGCCGTATTTGAACAGCCGAAATGAATGCTCTTTGGAAAATGTCTTTATTTCTCTTGTAAAACTTTGTGAGTCGAGAATGCCGCTAATGATAACATTGAAAAAATGGTATGCACTGTATTCTATATTTGATGAAGCAGTGCAAGGACACACCAACATCCGCGCGCTGACATTGGAGGGAGTTGGTTTGCCTTTTTTTAAATGTATTTTTTGATTGTAAAATTCTGAGGTAGAGCAAGGCTGCCATGCTGGGGAAGGCTTTGATAGTATACATAAAAGCAAAACTTCTACCACAATGGTCGAAATGTCAGACCACCACTAGCAATTAATGTACAAGTTTACAAACACCACATATGCCCGAATAGCATACTAACTATTTAATACTCTATCGCTTCTTTGTTCCACAATTCGGGCAGTAACAGCGAGCAATATTTATAGTGCAGTTTTAAGCGAAAACTCTGCTGATTGGGTTTATCGTTCTCGGAATTCACTTTGGGAAGTGTCGACGAAGTAAACTTGAAGGACATAGCAATTATGTGTCATTTGGGGATTATTACTCCAAGATTTCAAAAGTAAACAAGTGTGATGACAAGTGCATCATCTCTGTCAACCATGGTAGAGTTGATCGTTTACAGCACAGTTAAGCTTGAGTCTCCAAATGCTCTACAATAGAGACGCTATCGATGCTTATTAGAAGCATACTAGAATCGCTTTCAAAACGAGTATTTTAGCTTTGATTGCCTGTAAAGGTGCATATCAATTGTTAAGTAAACAACCTGTAGAAGCATCTAACAGCGAAAGTACGATACTCGTTGTCACTCATATTTCGCCGAACTAACGGGTCGGAAGTAGCTCAAACACATAAATGTTTGGCAAGCAAAAGTTTATTGTTAGCTGCGACATCAATGGTTGGGAAGGTGTTGGTGAAACTGCCGGGTGATTTTCAAAACTCGGTCAACGAGTACACCGATTCGGGCTTGCTGGAAGTTTACTACCTGCTTCTACTCATTTTTTGATGCTTTAAGGCAGTTAAGGCCCTGATACCAAACGAAGTACGAAGTGCAGGTGAAGCATAAAAGCTTTCGTCTTGGATCGCCTTTGGCACTGACGTGAACAAGTGGAACGGCGCTAATGGCGTCGGGTGCAAGCGCAGAAAAACGGCGTTTGAGATAAAGCACAGAGTATCCCAATATGAGCATCTGAGCCGTCGCGGCTCGGTTCGGGTTGCCGCCTCGCGGTATGCTTCAAAAAATCATGCACGATATGATTTTGCGAGCAGTATATGGTAGAAGTTGTTCTTGGTGATCAGATATCTACTGATTTGGATGTACGGATCGAACAAAGCTTTGTAGCATTGCTTACGAGGGAAATAAATAAAAGTCAAAGTGCCCAATCCAAACACACTGCTTATCCTTAGATGCGGCATAGAAGGCTGAATTCAAACCTGTCTTCTATATCTACGCCTTTGTCGAAGAGTTTTGCAAAGATTTGTCTTGGCAAAGTGCAAATTTAGGCTTACATATAGAGCTATGTTAGGCTTACAGAGCCGGGCCAAAACGTGCAGCTAGGTTACCCAGTATAATATAGAAAGGCAATGTGCATGATTTCGCTCATTATATGTGCGATTCTTCTGCAACAAAACTGCTCAAAAGTTCGTGTACAAAAATATTCTGCAGACGCGAAAGGTAGGTCTGAAATCACCGTTCTATATTTTGCACCCAATGGTATGTAGCTTGTTTAGATTGACCACTTCCACTTTTGATTAGTCCCTTGCTAGATTTATATAATTAGCTCGAGCGGTAACTTTACGCTAGCACATTCTAAAAAAGCAATACTTTGATCTTTGCAGAACAAAAAATGTCCGTAGACTTCTGAATGCTAAAAACCGATTTTAATTGCCGATTTCAATTTTTTTCTCAAGTCTCTATACAATACCGCTTTGTGAACGAAGACGCACAGTCCCCGATTCATGTGACATCACCCTCGCGACCACATTTTGCTCCAAAGTGGACGAATTCTTAATCCAAGGACACCATCCGACTCAGCTTGGAGCGGCGCATCTTTTAAGACATAGAAGTGCCTGCTTGGACGCAGTATGTAGGAGCCAGATTACATGAATCTTTTCAGATTTTTGCCTGGGATAGGCTTTCAGTGAGTGCAATGAATACGTACACTAAGCAATCTACCGTAAGCAAAAATCTGAAATGATTCGTGTAATCTGGCCTCCTACTGTGTCCAAGTGGACATTTCTATACATCAGAAGACGCGCCGCGCCGAGCTGAGTCGAATGGTGCCCTTACATCAAGAATGCGTCAGCTTTGAAGCGAGATTTGGTCACGTTACGGCGTTGTCCATTAAATCAGGCGAATGTGCGTCTTTCCTTTACAAATTGAGCGGAAGGCGTAGATATTCGTACCGGGGAACTAAGTATTGTGCAAGCTAGCTATTTTTGTTAAAATTGGGAGGAATCCGAGAAAAACATGAAGAAGTACGTCAGCATGCTGCATAAGTCGTTCCTAGACGTGGCTTTTACTTATGGCAAATGTGCCCTCAATAATCTACTAAATCGGGCTTTGAGTGTAAGCCGGAAGCTAATAAATTTGTCGCTATGCTACTGATGTAATCAAAAAACGTACAAAAACTAGAGCCTCACAAACATTTGTCAAATCACTTGGCTTATTCGTAGGCAAATGGTGATGCTGTTTTGAAAGCATGGTTGACCTAACAAGGGAATGGTCAGAAGTCGAAGTGGCCAATCCATACAAGCTGCATACCATTCGATGCAGCATAAAATGCTGATTTCAAATCTGTCTTCCACATCTGCAGAGCGCCTTTGTAGGCGGAGTTATGAGCAGCCTTACTGCGAAAATGTACAAAAAGGCATTAGGCACATTATTGCTCTTTCAGCTCACTCTAGGTACGGGTCATATGAAGTGACCTAATTGCAGGTTTTGGTCCAACACTGAGCCAAGAATGGCTTTGTACGGCCAGGTTTGCACTTTACACGCACAATTTCTTAGCAAAATAATGGCCTTCAATGGCTTATAATTTCGTCCACAGAAGCGCTCTGCAGATAAGAAAGACAGATTTAGAGTCAGCGTTTTATGCTGCATCCAATGTTATGCAGCTTGTATGGATTGGCCACTTCGACTTTTGACCATTCCCTTGTAAGCTGTAAAATTGTAAAAGGATAAAGCAAAGCAATAGCAAAATATCATATGTATATAATAAATGCAAATTAAACACTGTTTAATTACCAGTGTTTCTGTCAATGACATTCATAATTTCTAATTTAAGAGCATCCGCAGCAGTTCCTTATAGCATTCCAGTATCCAAGGGTAGCAGCCTTCCTGCATCCATATGGACCACCATTGTGCAAACGCGACACGATCTGGCATGGCCCTTGGCCGGTCGAAACGCATCCTCCTTTATAGCGGTTGACGTAGCGCTGAACAGAAAA